GTGGTCTAATAACAACAGCAAAACCGCAACTACGTGGCTGCATCGGCCAAGTTCTGACGCTTTGCATGGCTCACACGATGCATGTATAACTGCGCCACTTTGAATCGATAAAATTATCAATACATTGTGAGGAAGATCTGTTTTCATTGAGGGCCAAACGTGCGCGCGAAGGAAATAATAATCACTGTTCTTGTTGTCAGTAACGTCGTGTACGAAGCCAGAGTCAACATATTTACGTCCGTTCTTGAAAGGCTTGTCAGTCATATGTCCGAGTCCGTGTCCCTTTGCTTCATCATCACTATCATCAGACGTTTGATCTACGACTTCACTTTCTGATCGTGATGGAAGCGATTCTAAAGCATAGAGATAAACGTGTCCATAGTTGAACTGCGCCGGTATGTCATTGGATGGAAAGTTTTTCCAGCCCGATGTAGGTATTTCAGGGACTTTATTCTTTGGCTCTTTGATTATTTTTCCGTCCTTGCTGTATTCCTTGGATACCTTAATATCGAGCCACCTACCTCCATCTATACTCGGATCAAGAATGCGGTAATTTCCAGCGTTTATACAATCCTGAACACGTGCGAGCAGTTCGCTACGCTTTCCAGTGACTTTTAGGTCTCTGCATTTAAGCCAACGCTTTAACTGGTAGACAGTATAGTTTCCCGGGTCAGCATCAAACCTGGATCCAGGAACTCCATCATTTTCAGTCAAGTTTGTAGCTGTTTTAAGTGGATTTAGATACGAAGTATTTATATTTGCAGTCATTCCTCTTCTACTGAGATGGTTTGTTTGTCTGAGTCACGCGAAAGGTATCATATTTCGTGACGTAATAACCGCGCTGCGCTATTCAACCACTGCTAAGTTGACATAAGGTGCGCAGACTCCCGGGGCCTTCCTTATCGAAATTTCATTCATAGTTTCTTGTCACATACTTATAAGAGAGGTCTTGGCTTGGTGTGTGATTGATCAAAAAACAAACCAAACAATCGAATCTAGTAGACCGCTCCAATCCACAAAATACCTCATGTGAATTTAATCGATAACCATATTGTGATCGATTGTGTTTGGACCGACTGAGGCAGCAGTGAAACTGCTTCGACATCATGTTCGCCAACACTATGATTGCTTTGCTGATGTTTCAATCGTTTATTGTCTTCATCAAGTCAGACGGTGAGTCTCAAATATTCATTACGCTAAGTAATAAACGTTTAGCAGTGCTTAATTGTTCTACAACACATCGTTAATGCACTCCTCTCTTACTCACATTATCATCATTATTTCATACCACTTCTTGGTATCTATCAAAAATAGACTATAAATTGTTCGTAAAAGATTCCCAAGGACTTTCAAAACATATTTATCCGTAAGATTAGAGTATATTGATTCGGATCGCTTCGGGCACTTATTGATATTGCGTCACGCTTTTTTATGCTCAATATTTCAGGCAACGCTAATTATGTTTAACTAGAAGACAAAACAATTTTGTCTAGCGATATCACAGTCGGAATGTTTGTTGGAACTACAAATAATGCTATGTAAAACAACTCTAACTCCACTAACATGCTAATCAAACCATTTATAAATATAAAGAAGAGCCTTGAAAGGAAGAAGGCAATGATTAATGCGCCATATGGGACTGATATAGCTTAAATTTTAATGTCATGGCTTGAGTCTGTCCTTGTCGTATTGAACAATACGTGGCTTTGTTGTGGTGATTCTCAAGTAAAACTCATCAGGTCTTGTGGATTTGTTTTGGTTTGTGAATTTCTTATTTTGGTTTTAACTTGTTCTTGTGTAACATTTATGGACTTCATAGAGTTAATCCCTAAAGTCCTTAAACCAGTAATATTGATAAATCAGTGAGATGATGTCCAATATGCAGAAATGATTCAACCTTCGATCGACGTAGCATACGGCAAATAATGCATGTTATAGAAAAATTTAATGACTTTTTCGTGTATTGAGTTTATCATTACTGTCAAAAATTTATAGTCATTTATATTCAAATATTTTAGAGGAATATGATCGATATTTACACGGAAACATTCAACTTTTCGAGCCTCCCAAACCACTTATTAGATTGATACCATGATAGTGATCGCTCTGGAAATGTCGTATATTGGGGAAACGATACCAGAAGAGAGAAGAGTGTGGGTTGCCTTTGGGTTTTTTTGTTTTTGTTTTACATTTTCCGTAATCTTTGAAACATCCTCGTTCAACTCTGTTGTAAACTCCGTTGAAAAGCTAATATCTATTTCTCCTAATCCTTTGATAATCAGTTTTGTGCTTTATGAACTATACTACGATTCCTTTATCTCTTTAAGGATTTAAACAGTCTTTGACGGTAATATTTTCATTCTTTTGACCCCAGTGTACAGATTTAGTGCACTGGCTTGCTGCATTATTGTCTATATTCTACCCCTTTAGAATCCCACTGCTAAATTAACACACCCTATGTAAATCACGTTTGTTGAACACCACTATCAGAAATATTCAGTGAAAAATTGACCACTTYCTAATTTCATGAATAATGCTACTCTTCAGATTATTTCTTGAAGCCCTATAGAGTTGTTCCACAAATGTCTATTTTTTTTTACGAACAATTTTTCATAATAACGGAGATACTTCATTTCTGAACATTTGTATTTGTTTTACATGTAAGCACGACCCCATAAGCTTCATAGCTTTAATATTTAATCGTGTTTAAACAAAGTTCATGTATGTATCTAAAGCATGGACTATAGCCCTTGGTTTTGATCAATTTTGGACCATTTTCACACTTTTAACGAGATGTTGCATCATTTATGAAGAATGCAATATAGGTTATTTTGTGACCATTTTCAGCCAAGAAGCATAGACTATAGCCCATGGTTTAATAAATTTTTGATCATTTTCACACCCTTTCAGATATCGGGGATGCATAATTTATCAACGATGCCCAAAAGCATGGCCTATTGCCCAAGGTTATAATCGTTTTTTGGACCATTTTCACACTTTTTACGATATGATGCATTATTTATAAAAAATAAAAAATAGGCCATTTCTGACCATTTATAGCCAAAAAGCATAGACTATAGCCCATGGTTGTAATCGATTTTAAAACATTTTCACATTTTTTTACGAGATAATGCATTATTTCTTAAGGATGCAAAAAAGGTCATTTCTGACCATTTTCAGTTTAAAAGCATTGACTATAGCCCATGGTTTTAATAGATTTTGGGCCATTTTCACACCTTTTCTAATATATTGCATTATAGGTCATTTCCGACCATTTTCAGTCAAAAAGCATAATCGATTTTAGAACATTTTCACATTTTCACCCATGGTTTTGATCTTTTTTTGAACCATTTTCATAATTTTTAACATCACGTTAGATAACTGCAACGGCCTATTGTATGGTCTTCCAGCGTGCCAGCTTAATAAAATACAGCGCGTTTTTAACGCTGCCGCGAGAC